TTTATTTCTCCAAAGCACTCCAAACTATGTAAAAAAATTAACTCTCTAATAAAATATTATTTTCCACTTTCTTCTTTATATTACTGTGCTTTAAAAGTTTGAAGGCTAATATCTAATATTTCAGATATTAAAGTAGACATACCACTACTCTCTTATACATTATTCTTGCTCAGAACATGAAGAAGAGAACAATGCTTTATCTTGTGGTATCTCATGGAGTAGGAATAAGACACAGAACATCCTAAGGGTAAGTAAGTAGATAGTGTGACGTGATGTGATAGAGTAGAATGGCCCTATAGGGTTTCCTAGGCTGCAATCTTTACGGAAGCGGATCCCAGGTCTTTTCCCTGCAGAGAAGCTGGTGGGTTTGAAGTGCCAGTCTTTAAGTTGGCAGCCGAGTGCTTAACGGTTGCACCACCAGGGCTCCTTCAAAATGTAAGTATTTATTATTATTACTACTGAAGGATGAAAGACTTCATCTTTGTTTTCTTTTGTTTTTTTTTAATTGTGTTTTTGGTGACAGTTTACACTGCAAGTTAGGTTCCCATTTGACAATTCCTGCACAAATTGTTCAGTGATATTAGTTACATTTATCACCATGTGTCAACATTGTCTTTAACTGTGTTCTGTTTGTTCCCTTTCCAGTACTCTAGTTTCCCTGCCCCCTTATCTTCTCCTCTTGCTTTTGAGTAATTGTTGATCTTTTGGTTTTATACTGATGGTTTTTAAGTAGGGGAGGGTAATATCGTTTATTTTGTGTGCCACTCTGCTGTTTCACTACAAGGTGATCTCAGGGGATAGACTCAGTTCTAGGTTTGAAGAGTGTCTCAAGGTGATAGACTCAGGAAGTCCTATGTTCTCTACTGTTCCAGTTTGTCTGGCTTAAAAAAAAAAATGAATTCTGCTCCACATTTTTCTCTCTTTCTATCTGAGACCATCTACTGTGATCCTGGTCAGAACAGTCAGTAGTGGTAGCTGGGCACCATCTAGTTCTTCTGGTCTCAGGGTAGATGAAGTTGTGGCTGGTGTAGACTTGTTTCTTCTCTGTGCTTTTGGTTACCTTCATACTGTTTCATTCCTAACAAGTAGAGACCTGTAGTTGTGTCTTAGATGGCCACTCACAAGCTTTTAAGACCCCAGTCACTACTCACTTCCCTAGGATGTAGATTATGATTTTTGTGAACTATATTATATCAATTGACTGAGTTGTCCCATGAGATTATGAACCTAAG